GGCCAGCGGCCCTTCCCTCTTGTGAGCGCAGAAGGCTAGCCGATTCCCAGAGGATGCGGTGCCTGACCGCGGAGCTGCGGCTGGGCAGGTGGATGGACACGTCCAGGTTCAAGTCCTTGTGGTCAGGGACATCCTCCTGGTACTTGGCCAAGGCTTGGAATACCATAAAGGTGGCCTAGAACCCACCACGAGAGAGAAAGAGTGAGGTGGGGGCCTGAGGCATGGTTAGAACCCACTGGGAAATAGAGATTCAGATCAGGGGGGCCAGCAGGTGGTGCGGTGGTTAAGGGCGCTGAACTTCCGGGACCAGCACTTAGCATGATGGCTACGTCGCTGGACTCCCATGTAGTCAACTGCAGTTTGAGTCCTGGACCTGGTGACTTAAACTCAAGCCAGGCGTGCGTACGTGCATGCCCAAGATCCCAAGAAGAAAATGGAGAAGGGATTGTGGCGTGACCATCCCCCCAGGGGGTGAATTCTCGCTTTCTGTCTCTATGTCTGTCTGTCTTTCTGGTGAACTGGTGAACATATGCCCCCTAAAGCAAAACCCTCCAAAAAAAAAAAAAAAAAAAGCCACTGGACTCCCATATGGCCATCTGCAGTTCAAGTCCCGGACCTCGTGGCTTACTTTCTCACTGCCCTCCCCTCCCTCAAGCTGTCCCTCTCTAGTCAAATTAAAAAATAAATAGTTAAATAAAATAATTATAAAAAAGAAAGAGATATTCAGATATTCATATCAGAACTTGGGCACCAAAATGGTGGCCCAAACCCCACTGGAGAGTGAAGGGTTAGACTGGAGAATGCTGGATACTGGCAATATATTCTGGAACTCTCTGAGGTCAGGACTTGGTGATGGTTATGTCTGCAGCCTAGAATCCACGAGAGAGTTGTGAGGTTACGACTGGGGCTCATTCGACATGGAAGACATGCGTTAGAACTCCCTGAGGGACAGGCTGAGACCAGAGCGTGAAGACACAAACCAGCTCTAGACTCTACCAGCAGCTCCAGGCATGAGACTGAAGATTTAGCAACCCTGAGAATATAGTCTAGGGCCACCCAGAGGAGAGTGTCTTAGACCAGGGCTTAGGGACGCTGAGACTGTGTCCAGAACCCTCTTGAAAAACAGAATAAAGTTAGAGCTTGGGGACACTAAACATAAGATATATCGGTGGTTGGAAAAGTCATGACATTTTTCTATGCAGAAATGCATCATGACTTTTCTGACGACCCAGTAGAACTCAAAAGTGACTCTGAGAAGTGATGAAAAGCCCACCAGAAAGAGGAACCAGCAGATGCATAATAGTTACATTGCTGAACTCCCACATAGTCATCCATGGTTTAAGTCTCAGACCCGGCAGCTTCAAACTCACGCGAGGTGTGTGTGTGTGTGTGTGTGTGTGTGTGTGTGTGTGTGTGTGTATGCATGTGCCCAAAATCCTGAGAGAAGAATGAAGAAAAAGAGATTATGGGGTAGCCATCCCCCTCGGGGGCGATTTCTCACTTTCTGTCTGTCTCTGTCTTTCCGGCATACACACATACCCTTTAGCAAAAATCTGTCTCTCTACAAAGAAGAGAGAGATTTGCCAATTTCTGTGGTGTAAATACTCTAACCAGGATTGGATGATACCACCATAAGGAAAAGGGGTCAAACTGGAAGTTTTCTGGAGGCTGAAATGATTGAAACCATGGCCAGAAGCCACCAGGGAGAGACAGGGACTTGGGTAATGCCCCCTAGAGTCACTGAAAACCTGGTCTAAAACTCTCAGTGACACTGGGAACCTGCTAGAACTAGGACCTGATCCGCCAGTGTCATGGGAGCTTGGTGGAACTGAGAGGATGGTCTAGAACTCGTCAGGGGAGTAGAACTCATCAGCGTTATGGTGAAACTGAGAAGATGGTCTGGAATTCGTGTTATGGTGGAACTGAGAAGATGGTCTAGAACTCATCAGTGTCATGGTGGAACTGAGAAGATGGTCTAGAACTCATGTCATGGTGGAACTGAGAAGATGGTCTAGAACTCATCAGTGTCATGGTGGAACTGAGAAGATGGTCTAGAACTTATCAGTGTCATGGTGGAACTGAGAAGATGGTCTAGAACTTGTCAGTGTCATGGTGGAACTGAGAAGATGGTCTAGAACTCATCAGGGGAATGCTCCCACCTGAACCTGGGCCCCAAGAACATGTCTGGACACACAGTAGGGAGAAGGAGGCTCGACACCCAGCTTGGAGCAAACAGGTTCTAGTCTAGAACCTGCAGGTTTGCTGCTATGGAAAATGGACTGGTCAACTGCACTCCTATTATCCTGGTTCATAGGCCTGAGGACTCTGGGTCTCAGAACCTTCTCTGGGAGGTCAATGAGGCCACGGGAAGCAGAGATACAGGGGCCTGAGGCCTGGGGATCCACGTGCCTGGGTGGAGCCGTAGCCACCTCCGTAGTATCTCTGCTCGTTGAGCCAGCGCACGACGGGAGGCACGTTGTCGAAGTCTTTAAGCTCCAGCAGGGCCAAGAGGGCGTAGGATGTGGCCTCCACATTGTAGAGCTGCTTACCAGGTTCCTCCCAGCGGTTCCTCTCTGCAAAGACAGTGGCCCCATCCCAATTTTCACTGACTCATCCAGCCTGGGGAGCACTCAGGAAATGCTCAGAAAAAGACTCCTGGTGTTCATATGCCCAGCACCCTTGATCTGCGGGCTCTGCTTCACTGTCTCATCTTTCATCAACCCTCACTCCTCCTTTTGCACTGATTGCTCGACAGGTGCTCCTTAAAGGGATGATACAAGGACCCCCTCCTCCTGTGGTTTACAATGAAAACTTGACACATCTTTAAGCCATGCATGCTAGCTTGGTTTAAGACTATCCAACTTGGCTCAGCTTAGAGCCATCCATCTCAGCTCAGAGCTGCCCACCTCAGCTCAGCTCAGAGCCACCCAGCTCAGCTCATTCAAGACCATCCATCTCAGCTCACTCATGATCGCCCATCCCATCTCAGTTCAGCTCAGAGCCACCCATCCCAGCTCACTCAAGACCACCCATATCAGCTCACTCAAGACCGCCCATATCAGCTCAGCTCAGAGCTACCCAGCTCAGCTCAGCTCAGAGCCACCCATCTCAGCTCAGCTCAGAGCCACCCATCCCAGCTCAGCTCAGCTCAGAGCCACCCATCCCAGCTCAGCTCAGCTCAGCGCCACCCATCCCAGCTCAGCTCAGCTCAGAGCCACCCA